TACAATTATTCTGAGAACACTTTTGGCCTCTGCATAACTAAAATGCACACAACCGGACATACAAAACCACACTCAAAAGGATAAAAGAATGACATGGAGTATTGAGAACCATTAATCCAATGACTAAATTGCCACCCATGAACAACTCCTTGGCCATCTCCTCCAAAATTACATAGTATTAAGAGCCACCAATTCTAAGACTAAATTGCCAACCATATCCCTGAGTAAAAAAATTCCTTGACCACCTTCTCTAAATGTTGACATGCCGCAACCACCATATTCCGCAAACCAGGCTTCTGTAGGATAGCCCATGTACTCAATCGTGCAAATATCTCACAGTTTCAGAAGTATACTTTTCAACTTAATAAGGAGCAAATTCTGAACTAAAAAAACCAATTCTTTTTTTTTCCGGTCCTCTACAAAGCTTCTAAAAGAGAGTCCTTTGTCCATCATGCATGTCCACAATGCACGCAAGCAGCAGGCAGCTGTTTAGATACCTTGCCCAATGCTGCAAGCCAGTCGTCCAACGGGAAAGCACAAGCAACTTGCAAGTACTACTACAAATGAACATGGCCTTGAAATGAAAAGGTATAGCTTGGAGCCCAAAAAGAAGTGTTTTTTCCCCTCATTGTTACTCCCCATTTCAATCTACTTATAGTTCTAGATTTATCCTAAATCAAACATTTGTATATCCAACCATCAATTTCTAAAAATCTATACAGTTTGACACCATAATATTTATGTCTTTTTAATTCACCATGGGAAATATTCTCACAAGATATAAATCACATGATGTTAAACAACATGAACTTTTAAAAATCGATGGTGTATGTTTGACTTAGAATAAAAGTAAAACAACAAAGTAATTTTAAAAGGGGGATTTGTTTATATATGTAAATGTAACATAGAGAAGTTGTTGACAACATTTTCTAAAGTTGCACAGCTGTCTCAACTTCACAGTCCCAGTGGCTGTGGGTAACTTAGTAATTGGGAATTTGAGCACATCATCTCTTCACAACTAAACCACTGTTCTGGAGAATTCCAAGGCAAATGCCTTTTGAAAAGAATATGCAGATCTCATGACCTAATGATGCAGGGTTATCCTAATCCCTGATCCAGTGGCATGGATCCCAAGGACAAATGCTGAATATAGATGACAAGATAAACTAAGCAGATCTAACCAAGTCATACACATTATTTTACTGGAGTAGTACATACTACCACACAATGGTTTGCCCCACTCCTTGCTTCCTACTGACAGTAAAAGCACTGATCAGTTCACTGAAATGTTCAGTAACAGGTTGATGGATTAAATTTTACTGAAAGACCAGTCAGATTCATATGAAAAAAAAAACCAAATTTAACCAAAGTTCGTTTTCAAAATTGCTGGACCACAACACCAGGTGTAAACTGTAAAGTGTAGGAAGATCATTATGAAGTTTGTTTGGCTTTGACTCCAAGCCTGCAGCCATACATACACAAACCCTGACATTGTGCACACACATTCAGAAACAGGTGAACTGTTCAGACTTTCAGACTGATCAACTCTACAGTAGCCATGCATGCAGATTGCAAACAGGGAGCACTGTGTTTGTTCAGTAACCCACATGGGGGGCTTCATGCCTGTTGCAAAGCTTGTCCTTAACATGTCTCCTACCAAAAACTCATATTTTTCAACCTTGTTGTATGTCATTTTGGTGGTGTTTAGATCCGGGACTTAACTTTAGTCCCTGTCTTTAAACACTAATTTAGAGTATTAAATATAGACTACTTACAAAACTAATTACATAAATAAAAGCTAATTCACGAGACAAATTTTTTAAGCCTAATTAATCTATAATTAGAGAATGTTTACTGTAGCATCACATAGGCTAATCATGGATTAATTAGGCTCATTAGATTCGTCTCGCAAATTAGTCCAAGATTATGGATGGGTTTTATTAATAGTCTACGTTTAATATTTATAATTAATTTTCAAACATCCGATGTGATAGGGACTTAAAAGTTTTAGTCACATCTAACACCATAGTACAGAAGAACTAGTAGTAGTAACAAGTAGTACTAGCAATGACAGAATACTTGGTACATTATCTCTCTATTTTCTCTCTTTCATTAATGGTGCTACCACTGCTTTTCTTCTGAAGTACCAACAGTGCAAGAAGATATATAGAAGCTGTGTCGTATCCAACGTATTCTGCACACTAATTAGTACTACCTCTATATTTTAATGTATGACGCTGTTGATTTTTTTGTCTAACATTTGACCATTCGTCTTATTCAAAAAAAATATGTAATTATCATTTATTTATTATGACTTCATTCGTCATCAAATGTTCTTTAAGCATGACATAAATATTTTTATATTTGCACAAAAAATTTGAATAAAATGAATGGTCAAACGTTGGTCGAAAAGTCAACGGCGTCATATATTAAAATACGGAGGGAGTATTTTTTTCCTCTCATCAATAAGTAATCGTCATCTAAGGCTGAGTTCGTTTGGGCAACTAGCTGCGGCAACTTTCTTGTTATTCGTGAGCACGCTTTTTAAACTATTGTACAAAAGTTCTATATGTAAAAATTTCTTTAAAAAATCAAATAAATCTATTTTTCAAGTTTATATTACTTAATACTCGACTAATCATATACTAATGGCTGCTTGTCTTGTTTCGCTTGCCGTTGCGCCCAACCGCCCTAACGAACTGCCAAGCATATAGAAAACACATGATGTTTGGCAGTTGATTCTTCTGAAAGATTAAGTCTAATCATTGTTAAAATGGCAGAATGGATTAAGGGGCTTTTCAGAAGAAATATAAATATCAACAACCGATATTGTTCTATTTTAAAATTTATATGGATGCATTAATAATTGCATGGTTAAGTAGATATACCAAAGAACAGGAAGTACGGGAGTAGCATGCACGTACTGGGTATCCAATGCAATTGGGATGATAAGATAGGGATAGTTAGTTCATGCATAGTTTGGTCTATCTAGATCAGTTGAAATCTTGTCTGTATTAGGATTCAGATTAGGGATCACACATTTTTTAATAGTTGGCATCCACTAACTTGCAAAACCCAACACAACTTTCAACAGGAGATGCAATCTAAACCTTGCTTTTATATTTTATTAGTAACATTATGACTTCTTTATTGGTTCCAATCAGATTGTTAGGTATAAGTCAGAGCAATTAACCTGCTAAACGTGGACGGCAATGGTGCAAGATGTTAAACCGAAATGCTTAAAATAAAGATGGTGTTTAAGGGTATTCTCTTTCAAAAAGAGCCAGGGGAACTGTACTTTTGGATGATTGCAACAACTATGAATACAAACATATATCCTCCTATGGATGATTGCTCTGTATGACAGGACTTGCTACCAGAACCTAGTTCTTATCCAAGAACCGATTAACAACCATGTGTTCATTATCTAAAGCTTTAAATTGCAATTGCAGAGAAGCTGAAAATTTGTGGCACTGTATTTTGGGCTCCCTTCTGTATTTTGTTTTGGTGATTGAGAAGTTGTATTTACCTACCCCAACCACCAACAATGACTTGACAAGATGATGTCTGAATCATCGGATCTTTTCTCGAAAAGGGAGAACTTTGAGGAGGAAGATTCTCTTCTCTTGTGTCTTTCTGCATTTCTCTTGTCATGCAAAATGTGCTTCCTACTAGTATGATGCACTGCATCCAAAGCTTATCAAATGACATATACATTGCAGTTGGCCTCTTGCTAACTTCTATGCAGGAAATGAATGTTTTTTTTCTTAAAAAAAAGATAAATATCAAAGACTTCCAGTGGCAATTCTGTTCAATGAGTATATTGGACTGGACTGTATCCTTCATGTAAGAAGGATGAACTCTGAAAATTGCAGTTTGGTTTTGTATGTAACATGTGTAAAAAAAAATGCTTTACTTCTATGTAAGACTTCAGTTTGGTGCTTTCATCTCATTGCTACTGCCCCTACAATTTACTGAAGTTTGGATCTATTTGCAGTTGTGCAGTGTATTCCGCAGTCAAATTCTGGGACCATCTACTCGTATCACTTGTCAATGGAGTACACAAAGCAAAGATACTTTATCCTAGAAGTATACCCGGATTTTCTATGGCACTTCAGTATGAGCTACAGCTCTAGAATAATAGAAGTATAAGTTTCTAAGACATATTTTTTTAACAAATGATAATGCTACTATGTAAAGCCATCAGGTAATAAAATCAAGCATTTCATGTTTACTGAAAAGTACAGAATGCATGTTTTGAAAAAGATACACATATATTCATGGTGGGAATAGATTCAAAATAGTTATTAACAAATATATGAAATCAATTATGAGGTTAAATAGTAGCAGCAGTAAAAAGTAGTATGGCCTACTCTCTCTCTCTCACACACACATATCACTACAGTGACACTGAATCTCTTCTTACTCTTTACTGCAAAAATCACTTTAATTTCAGAATCATGTTATTTACATTTCATTGGTGATGGCATAAGACAAAAATCATATTTTCCTAATCCCATACCGTTTCATTATTATGTACCCAATATTTCAAATACAAAATTGACCTTTTTGAACATTCACTACCAACCTTCTTTTAAACCTAAGCAAAGTCATCAATACCAACACTATCTACTCCAGCAAATCAGAAAGTTAGTACCATCTTTCTTACCCAAACTCCTGAAAATCCGTTGCAAGTGTCACCGCTTTTCATCATCAACCAAATCTAGAACAAGCAAAGAACACCTCCATAATAAAAAACAGAAAACTACCACTACCAGTGCAGTACTACTCAAATCCAGCAGACAGCACAACAAATGCAGTGCCAGAGAATTTTTCACCAAAAAGCTGGCAAAACTTCTCATTTCTCTCCCCCACCACAGACAATCCGGCCACCACCACCACCTCTCCCCCCCTCCATTTTCGCTCATACTTCGTTTTCTATCCAGTGGTGGGGTTCCTGGATTTTCTAAAGCCATCACCACCTAACTGTCTTCTTAACCTGGACTTGCCATGCAGATGCAAATTGTGCAATTGCTAGTAGTATTCTACTGCCATAGTGCCACATGCTCTGCCTCACTCTTTCTCTCTCTCTCTCTCTCTCTATCTCTTTCTCTTTCTTGGAGCTTGAGCTGTGCATTGATGGACACCTTGCTCCTCTGAATTGTTTTCCAGTGTGTGATGATCTTGGAAAGATCACTTTTTGAGGCTTTCCAGTGTGTTGTGTAGTGCTTTAGTGCTTGTGTGCTGGTGTATAGCTTTGCTTGTGTTGTGTTGTGCCAACCTTGAGTTGAATAAAGCTTGGGGCTTTAGAGTTTGCTCTTCTTTTTCACATCCAAGGTGCTGCATATATTCAGGCTCTGGGCTTTTGGACTCTAGTAATTGCTGGTTGCTACCTCAACTTTCGGCATCAAGATCCAAGAAAGATCAGTAGCCAAAAAAGAAAAGTCTTGAGCTGCAATCATTTGGATTTGGATTGTGGAGATTCTCTTGTAGCTTACTCCTTCTCCCCTTACTGTTCTTGCTCTGGCATTTGGATCAAAGGGTACACTGTTTCTCAAGGGAGAAGGACAAGCTCAGGAAGCAGCAGGTTCTCCTCAAGGTAGCATGCTGAATCCAATTGCTGAATTTTCTTGGATTTATTTCTTTCAGGTCAATGAGGTGCTAACTTATATTTTTCTCTCTCTTTGTTTGTGCAGGAGTTGTTTTGGAAGAAGAGATTAAGGTCAAAGAGGAGTTCAACAATCATAAGGTATTAATGGAGATGTTCGTTACTGTTCTTGTTAGGATTACGATTACCTGTTCAGATTCCATTTTGAAGTACACACCATTGATGTCTCCCTGCTCTGCATGTGGCTAATCATTGCAAAGTGTTTGGAATCGATTCCTTTCAGCTATGATCATTCTTTTCTTGATGTGAGTTGTTTGAGATTCCACTTCACAGCCATGCTGATACTTGGTATCTTTCTTCAGTTCAAGTGGTGAGGAAAAAAGCAGATGAAGCTCTGCACAGGCATGTTCAGAGGCTTCTTCTGCTTGAATCATCTCCTCCTCTGAAGAAGAACATCTCTTCTTTTCTTTGTGGAGGAGGCAGCAATGGAGGGACATGTTATTGTTCCACTGGAAAAGTTGAGCTTGGAGCTCAACAATGGTGGAATCATGCTCAACCATGACAAGGACATTTCAGCTCTCCAAGGTTTGCACAATACATCACTTTCTTCAATATTCAGTACTAAATGTGTCGGTGCATGCAGAAATTGAGGCAGATAGTGACATAATCTTTTGATTTGATTTTGTTTCAGAGGAGATTTCAGCTCTAAGATCAAGGCAGAGACATCTTGACCACAGAAGACAGGAGGCACTGGACAAGCTCATAGACCTGAAAGGTACTGTTCATAATACTAGATAGCATTTGGTTTTCTCCCCTCTCTAGAACTAGTTCTTGCTTGTTCATGGAGCTCAGTTTGGCCGAAATTTCAGGAAGTATCAGGGTTTTCTGCCGGGTCCGGCCATCGATTTCGGCCAACAACTTCATGACCAAATCGCCGGTTACCGTCGAAAACGAGAAGATCGTGGTTCGAGCAGTGGGGATCAAGAAAGAATTCAGTGTTGACAGGGTGTTTGATCAGGAGTCAACGCAAGGTATCTTACTCTTACTCACGAGATCTCGTCACTGAACACTGCTATTCTTTTCAGTTTTCACTGCTCTTATTCTGAGAGTGTAACTCGTTTCACTTCTTGTTCATAATTCAGAGGATGTTTTCCAAGAAGTGAAGCCAATTCTCAGATCTGCACTTGATGGGCACAATGTCTGTATTCTTGCTTATGGTCAAACTGGGACAGGAAAGACCTATACAATGGTAGGCTGGTGCAGTTCTGGTTACATTTGATATAAATTCATCAGAAATTAAATCTGTATTGGTTTTCAAAAAAGAAATTAAATCTGTACTTCATCTTACTTACTGGGAACTGCTTGCAGGAAGGAAATAATGGTAAGCTCGGTATCGTCCCCCGAGCGATTCAAGAACTGTTTTCTCATGCTTCTCAAGACAGTTCATCCACATATTCCTTCTCCATAAGCATGCTTGAGGTCTACATGGGGACTGTCAGGGACTTATTGACACCAAGGCAGCCTCTCTTCAGGTCCACAGAGTGCAACACATCGTCGTAAGATTGCAAATTCACCTGTAAATTACTAATCAATACAATCAATTCTTGAACTGAAAATGTATTCATGTTTTTACTGGGTATTTTCAGAATCATCAGCATACTAGCAACTAAAAGTGGAGCTGTAGAAGTTGAGGGTCTAACAGATGTTGCAATTCAAGACCTCAAGAAGGCCAACCAGTGGTACTGCAGAGGACGGCGTGCACGGTCGACGTCTTGGACAAATGTTAACGATGTTTCGAGTCGATCGCATTGGTGGGTTGATGAGCTGTTCAATCACAAATTTTCAGTTACTGCAGTGTGGTAGCTTGGACAGTACCCAATTTTATGTGCCTTAGCTCTGTTTGTGTGTAGCTTGACAAGAATTACCATAAAGAGAAGTAGTGGAGGTACCACTGAAGAATGCAGCAAGCTATGGCTTGTCGATCTTGGTGGAAGCGAGCGGCTGCTGAAGACCGGTGCATCTGGGTTGACAATGGATGAGGGTAAGGCCATAAACCTCTCTCTGTCAGCCCTTGGTGATGTCATCGCGGCACTTAGGCGAAAGAGAAGCCATGTTCCTTACAGGTAAACAGCCCAAGTATCTAGTTTCATTGTCAGATAAATTACGTGTTTCAAACTTTCAGTTACATTTATGGATTCAGTACTTTATGTTTACCTTGTTTCTCAATATCTGCAGAAACAGTAAGCTTACCCAGATTCTCAGTGATTCACTTGGTAAGGAACTAAGGATCTTTTTTTTTCTGAATAACTCGAAGTATCAAAAGTTCTTTTGGATAAAATTTTATACTGGTGAATTTCTGAATCAACAGGTGATGGGTCAAAGGTTCTGATGGTAGTACATATCAGCCCTTCTGATGATGATATTGGTGAAACAGTCTGTTCACTGAGCTTTGCGAAAAGAGCCCGGTCAATCGAGTCCAGCAAAGAACTTTCAGAAGTAAGTAATGGAGATTCAATGTGCAATTGTCTTCACCTCGAGGAAATGTGTTTTTCCTGATATGTAAAAGATGTACCTTTTCATAATTCAGGACATAAAGAAGCTGAAGCAGAAGCGGATCGCAGAGCTTGACAAGGAAATATGCGACGCCGAGCAAGAGCTCAAGGATCTCAATGAACAGATAAAGAGAGCTGAAACCTCACTTGAAGAGAGGAAGAAGCTCTCTTCATCTGCCTGTCAGGCTCTCAGTGATGAGAAGGGGTCACCAAGAAGCACTCTAGTGGTAGTAGGACACATTGATTCTGCAGAGAGCCCTCAAGCCACTGAGAAAACAAAGAGCAGAGCATCTCATGGATCAGTTCCTCACTTCATGTCCCCAACAGTTTGCAGCAGGCAAAGACATAGTTCAGCAAGCCACTCTGCTACTAAAACAAGGCTGACAAAATCAGTGAACAGGTATCCTGCAGCTGAGCTCAGTGGGAGCCATTCCTTCAGCTACTCAAGCTGCAAGAATGCAGCCAAGGCTAGGTCAGTGGCATTCTCATCTAGCATGCCCAAGATGAAATGTTTGCCACTCAAGTCTGATCAGATCAACATGAGCAACAACAGCATCGATTCGACGGCGGCGTCAGCGCCTCGAAGGAGGGAGAGCTTCATTTCTAGACCAGCTCAGAGAGCTCCCTTGCATCAACACAGGAGAAGGATGTCTAGCCTGACATAATATTACAGAAATACTGATTGAACAGTTATGTTTTTAACACCCTGTTTAGTGGTGATGAAATGTTTATGAAATATGTTTTTGGTTTTGTGGGTGCTTGATGGTTTGCTTGTTACCGGAGTAGTTCTTAACTTCTGTAACTAATTCAGGGCCTTCCTTCGTTGTTTTTGGTTTGGAATGGAAGGGCAAAAGGGTGTGGGGGGTTCATGTTAAGTATAACTGTAATGGGTTTAACTGATGCTTTTGATTGCTCTCTGACTATGTAATCTTGACAAAAGAAAAGAAAAACTATACACATCAAGAATTAACAAGGTATTGTGGCATTACTTTCATCAATTTGATCTACAAATACATGCTAAGACAGAATCTTGCATTGTTTCTCTTTAAAATGGAATTGTTTAACCACATGTACATGGCTGCTGTAAGAAAATAGATTTTCGTACTTACCATGGAAGACATATTCTGGAGATCATGCCTGAAATTTTCTTAATTGTTGGCATCATGGTGTACTGTATATGACTATTTGTTCGATACTTCGATAAGTAACTTCAAGTTTCTGAAACTGAAATAAGGAGTTAAATTAACTGCCATAAGCAGATGAAATGAGGTAAAATGGAATATATGGTAACAAGTTTGAATGTAAGAAACGGGGACCAAAGTGACTTTTTGTTTGGAGCTTCCAAGTCAATCATAAAATTCATCCTGACCATGAAGGCTCAACCTATTCTCTCTCTCTTTTTCTTGACCAGAAACGCTCAACCTGCTGTTAACAGAAAATACATAACCTTAGTAGTAGTTAGCAACATGCACAATCAATTAGCTGATGTTTATGTTGAACTTTCAGAATCTAGAAAATACATGAAGCTTAGAATTAGAATTACTAAAACAAAGACAGATAACCCACTAAGCCAATTTCATTAGCATATTGTTTTGTGCGCTCATATCACTGGATTAAGAGATAGAAGTTTTTATATGTCACTTATCCCATTGTCCTAATAAGGAAGATCATGTTTGTTGCTGTCATGGGCATTGGGCCGTAGGCCAAGGCCTATAGGTAGCCCATATCAATTAAGTTAGAGATAAGATTATTAGCTAAGTTAGAGATAAGATTAGATTGAATCCTTACTTATTTTTTTCGCCGGGCTGGCAAAACTTGCCGGCCAAAGTATATTAAGAAAGAAAGCGAGAATGTACATTATTTCCTAACACCCCAGGAACAGAACTTCGGGAGCAGAAAAGCAGAGAAAAAGCTACTAAAAACCCCTCCTTAAACAGGGCCGCCCCAACCACAGATCACTCTGTTGGAATCAATCCCGCAGCTGTTGGAATCCTTACTTAGAGGTCAAGCTATACCATCTATATAAGGATGGGATTGTATCTATTATCGTTAAGCGATGAATATCAATTAGTCTAATCTCTCCCTCCTAATAATGTTCTTTTCCCTAGTCTAAATCTACATCCCTTCTCCAGGAGCCGACGCCGCCCGGCTATCTTCCCGGTGGTGTTTATCCCGTCATGGCCTCGGGTCATGACAGTTGCTCTTACTGCATCATGCAAGATTCTAACAGAGGCTTTGAACATTGACAGAGTGGTAGTATAGTAACAAGATACATGTGTTCTAATGATGTTGCTGAACAGCTAACAGTGATGTCTTAATACTTTAACTAACTGAATACAAAACAAAAAAAAAAAATCATGCCAGTTCTTTTTCTCTAAACTGCAAACTGAGAACTCAACCTACTTTTTTTGTTCAGATCTGAATATTCTGAAAGGAAATAAAAGTTTTGTTGTATCTGCTTTCTGTTACCATTTTTTCTTACCATTTCTTTTCTGAAAATTTGGCTGCATGTAGTTGTTCTAGAATATTTCCTGAAAGCACTTGAGTGACAACATACTGGGACAATTCTGAGTTCTCTCCAGAATTGTACACATGCTGCAGTAAGCTTGGCTGGCTGTGTACATCCAAACGGATGTAGAGGCCGGTTTAATCCATTATCTAAAAAAAAATGCTGCACAGTAAGCTTTGTTCTCAGGTGTGCAGAACTGTTGGCTAAAGAATATATTCCCACTTAATCTGGAGGACTTATGTATATAATCACTAAAATTTTAAGTGTTGCCTTTGCTTGTCACAGAAGTCATCTTCCACAGGTAGGGGCATGTAACTTCAGTTCAGCATCTCAAATAGAAACGGAGAAATGTAACACTTAAATCTACTAGAAGAGCAATGGAAAAAGCAGAACTCCAAAACAGTAGTCTGATCATATGTAACTATCATGCTGACTGCTGAGAGAGAAAGAACAAGTGAATAACAGAGACATAAAGTTACAAATATCTACTCGTTCTTTTATTTAAGCTAAAAATGCTACATATATCTTCCCTTTTGTCTGAAAGAGAAGTACACAAATATCTGTGGCCTAAAGGAAACATGCCCCCATCCCCTTTGATCCCAAAGTGATGGGCATTCAATTTTTGCTGCAGCTTGCCTATATTAATTGTGATCCAACCAATAGTATTAGTATAGGATAAAGACCATTACCTGCTTGTCCGGCATGTCAGATTGTCCAACAACTCCAGAATTCAGAGAATTCACAGTTTTTGTATCTTCCCCTGCATCAATGTACAGGCATCTGGCAAGAAGAAGCCAAGAACATGTTACATGTCGAGTGGCAACTGGCGAGGGAGATCTCAAGAACTTCCAATGCAGAATCTAATGTATATAACTGAAGAAACGTCAAGTTCATGGATGGATTCATCAGTACTCTAGGATCCAGATGGTTTCCAAGAACACACAGACTGAAGCTACGCAAATCAGATTCAGAGTTCAAAGTTCAAACTGAGATTGACAGTGGAATCCCTGAGCAGCAAATCTTTCATGTTCCCTGGATCTCAGGGCGAATCAGGTGGTGTTTGGATCCAGGGACTTAACTTTAGTCCCTGTCTTTAGACACTAATTTAGAGTATTAAATATAGACTACTTACAAAACTAATTACATAAATGAAAGCTAATTCACGAGACAAATTTTTTAAGCCTAATTAATCCATAATTAGAGAATGTTTACTGTAGCATCACATAGGCTAATCATGGATTAGTTAGGCTCAATAGATTCGTCTCACGAATTAGTCCAGGATTATGGATGGGTTTTATTAATAGTCTACGTTTAATATTTATAATTAATATTCAAACATCCGATGTGATAGGGACTTAAAAGTTTTAGTCCCATCTAAACAGGGCCTCAAACTGTATCCAAAATCTTTCGCTTTCCCCCTCTCCCAGATTCAGATTGAATTCACATCACCAATAATAATAATAATAATAATAATAATAATAATAATAATAATAATAATAATAATAATAACACAATAGTAATTTCCAGAAGGAAACCTATTAAACACAAGAAGAAGAATCCCAGTGGTTGGTTGACACGTGGAGGCGGACATATGGACCCACGTGGATAGGGAGCAGCACGGCCACGTGGCCCACAGGTGGGTCCCACGGTCCGACTGGGTGGTGGGCCCAGCCGCACCAGATCCCATCCCTTCTCTTCTTCTTCTCCCTCCTGTCACATACAAAAATATCGAATTTTTATACTATCTCGAAACGATAAAAAAGAGCACAAATTCTTCTCCTGTTAGTAATTCTGTTCGAATTCCTCTCCTTCCCCAAAAAAGAGTGGAGTTCATCTCCGCCACGCGGGGTTACCGATAAAAATCCCCCAAATTTCCGCTCCCACCCCGTCGGATTCTCCCCCGAATCCGAGAGTTCATCGTTTTCCGCCGATTTATTTTATCTGGTTTTGTAAACCAGCAGCCCAATTGCTCTCTGCCTTCGTCTACCTCGTGGAAGATTCCGGGTCAAATTCTAGACTTTTTGGTGGGTTGCGTGCGAGGGGTGGAGGTTGCTTCGAAGGCAAGCGTTGGGGGGGGGGGGGGGGATTGGATTTTGAGGAGGGAGGGAGGGAGTAGGGTTTGGTAATTGGAGGAGGTGGAGTAATGGAGCTCGGGTTGGGGATGGGGATGGGGCTGGGCGACCCGCCTGCGGACTACGGCTCGATCGCGGCGGTGGGGATGTTCGTGGCGCTCATCTGCGTCTGCATCGTCGTCGGCCACCTCCTCGAGGAGAGCCGATGGATGAACGAGTCCATCACCGCGCTAATCATCGTGAGTCGATGAGTTCTTGTTGAGTTGTGCTGTTTATTATGTGAGATTTTGGGAGATGATGGTGGTTTTCGTTTGGTGTTTGATTGTTTGTGGTGTGTGTGTCTGGGGTTTCTTGCAGGGGTTGGGTACTGGAGGAGTGATTTTGATGGTGTCGAGCTGGAAGCACTCGCGCATACTGGTGTTCAGCGAGGATCTCTTCTTCATTTACCTGCTCCCGCCGATCATATTCAATGCGGGGTAAGCTGTTTCATGTGAATTAAGATTGTGCTATCATGGTGATGATTTTCTTTATAATTAGAGTCGTCTTTGCAAAAGTAGTGAGTGATAAGGAAGAAAATATGCAGGGGCAATTAGTTGTGAGTTCCATGCTGGAACGTGATATAATTGGGTTGTTACTAAATGGAGCTGCTATTGCTTCTCTCTTTGAAATTATCATGCTAATTAAGGCAATATCACTTATGAGATGTATGCGTTTTTGTAGTACACGTAAATTGTGCCTCTTCAGTTCTGTAGTAGGAGTATTTGGAATGGGAAATTTTACTTTTCCACTTCTTTGTATCAAACTGATTTTGCTAATTAAGGTACACCTAGCTATCAAATGCATACACATAGTGCACATTATTATAGCAATTAAACTCTCTAATCTTCCAGTAGGAAATTCTGTTACATCATTTAAAGTTTAACATTAGTCAGCAAGGTGAAGCTTACTGTTCCTTTTTTTCTCTTTCTTTCCTGAGCAGGTTCCAAGTTAAGAAGAAACAATTTTTCCGCAACTTCATGACTATTACGTTGTTTGGTGCGATTGGGACCCTAATCTCTTTCAGTGTAATTTCCCTCGGTAAGTTGTTTTCCTCTTTAAATTTTACCTGGCATGTTCTTTTGTGCTCATCTCTCTCACTCGTACATTCCATCACAGGTTCTCTAGGACTAATATCAAGGCTGAACATAGGTTCCCTTGATCTTGGAGATTATCTTGGTCAGTTCTTATATGAACCTAATGCGTAAGCATTTCGATTGCATGCCTGTGGTTCTGTGTTTTGACTTGTTCCGCATGTGAACTTTTTTCAGCACTTGGGGCAATATTCTCGGCAACAGACTCTGTATGCACCTTGCAGGTTTTGAACCAAGATGAAACACCCTTCTTGTACAGCCTGGTTTTCGGGGAAGGTGTTGTCAATGATGCAACATCAGTTGTGCTATTCAACGCAATGCAGAACTTTGATCTTGCAAATTTCAGCAGTGTTAAATTCTTGCAATTCATTGGCAATTTTCTTTATCTGTTTGCCACGAGCACCTTTCTTGGAGTTGCTGTAAGTTCTTTCCTGCTCACTCCAATCTTTATCTTTGTCAATGTTTCTTTTTCCTAAAGCATGATATGACTGCAGGCTGGACTTCTCAGTGCTTATATCATAAAAAAGCTGTACTTCGGCAGGTTTGTACAACACACCACATTATGTGGTTGATATTTGTATGATCAATCACCAGACATTTTATAATAATTCTCTAATCCATGAATTATACCTTCAATCCAGGCATTCCACTGATCGTGAAGTTTCTATTATGATGCTCATGGCTTACTTGTCTTACATGCTTGCTGAAGTAAGCACCCTGTACTATTAGCATCATATAGATCCTGCAGATTTGAGCAATGTCAGCTAAATTTAATTGTAATGGATAATCTGATATTAACCTGTTTCTTTTTGTGGCAGTTGCTTGATTTGAGTGGTATTCTTACGGTGTTCTTCTGTGGTATTGTAATGTCGCACTATACCTGGCATAATGTAACAGAGAGTTCCAGGGTCACAACCAAGTAAGTATCTTTATGGTTTGTTTCAGCAAACTTATTATTCCATTTTCATTTTTTTAACTTGATGATTTCAAATATGTATTTCCTGAAATTGTGTATCACACTGATGCTTCTCTAATTGTATACTCTATAGGCACGCCTTCGCCACATTGTCATTTATCGCCGAGACATTTCTATTTCTTTATGTTGGTATGGATGCATTGGATATGGAGAAGTGGAAGATTGTCGGTGAAACATTCAGGTATGCTCTCTGTGGGTGTGGGAAGTAACCATATATGTTGTTCAGTTGCCCAATTAATAGATAATAATTGTAATATGTGTAACATATTTCTTATCCTGTGCAGCCCAATGAAATCTATTGCTTTGAGCTCCACTATTTTGTTCTTGGTGCTGGTCGCAAGAGCTGCTTTTGTTTTCCCACTATCTTTTTTGGCAAATTTGACCAAAAAAACTGAAGAGGGAAAGATCTCTATTAAGCAGCAAGTGAGTGTTTTATTTAGCAGCATCTTAGGCTTGCTATCTTCTCTTATAAGGGGACTTTCAGGTTACTTATGATGTGGGTTATTCAGGTTATTATTTGGTGGGCGGGTCTGATGAGAGGTGCTGTGTCCATTGCATTGGCCTACAACAAGGTAACATTTGATCTGTTCGACCTGTGCTTTAGCTTGTACAAGTTTGTGTGATCTTGAAATTTCATATTTGACTGGCTGCTTGATAAAGACACGTGCAGCTTGCCTGTTTATAAACTAACTTGTTTGAGGCTGGATTTTTTTTGTTTGCTTTCGTGTATTAACTATTGTTCGTAATTCATGCTTTGATCTGAAACTTGTCACTTCGACACTTGCAGTTCACAAGGTCAGGCCACACTCAACTCCCTAGTAATGCTATCATGATCACTAGTACAATCACTGTTGTTCTTTTCAGCACGATGGTAAGTTCTCTCTCAAACAAACACAACCCTGTGCAATACATCCTTCGGTTCAAAGGGAGACAGTATGAAAGCTGATCCCTGAACAATTCCACAAGTTGGTTCTGATAAAATCATCTCTCTTATGTTCCCTCAGGTCTTTGGGCTCCTGACTAAGCCATTAATCAGACTCCTAATTCCAGCAAGACACCTCAACCGGGAATCGAGTGCGCTTTCGGATCCACCTAGCCCGAAATCCTTCCTTGATCCACTGATCCTGAACGGTTCCGATGTCGATCCTGAGATTGGTGTGGGCATTCGCCGACCGACAAGCCTCCGACTTCTCCTAGCAAGCCCGACACAGTCGGTCCACCATTACTGGCGCAAGTTCGACAACGCCTTCATGAGGCCGGTGTTTGGGGGCCGAGGATTCGTCCCCTTCGTCCCCGGCTCACCAACTGAAAGGAGTGTGCCATTACTCCAGGGAAATGAGAACTAGAAAACTTTTTCAAAGGAGCGTGCCATTACTCCAGGGAAATGAGAGCTAGAAAACATAAACAAAGGTTGTGTAAATCTGAGGTAGAAGAACAATCAGCAAACACAGTTTCTGTAAATTTATCTGAGGTAGTAACAGCGTTCTTGGTAGCTGTGGTACATGCTGATGTGTTATGTACCTAATATTGTAGATAGCATGGATGTATATATATAAAGCCTCTGTAGTTTAGCAAGAAATGGTGCTGAAAATTTTGCCACGATTTATACAATATGGTATGATTTTTGCATTCAAGAGTGAAAATGTTGCTGAAATTTTTGTAGTGTCTTTTTTTTTTTTGTTTCTGAAATTTTATTTTTGGAGGTGAACACGTGGGTTTATTGATAGGCTACTCGAAGCTATAGATGGCCATAAGGCCCGAAGGCCCAGCCCATGACACGGCATTTTGGCCTGGCCCAAGCACGGCACGGCCCGACTTGGGTCGGGCTTGTGCCGGCCCGGCTCGACCGCTGGGCCATGCTTGGGCCTCCCCACTGGCACGCTGGGCTGGCCCGACACGATGGGCCGGCAGGCCAGGCTCGGCAAACAAAGTATAAGGACTAAAAATAGACATATTAATATCACAGTCCAAAGAATAGGGATCTAAAATAGATTTATTTTTAACTATTTATATGTCACAGAACAAAGAAGAGGGAGAAAAAATAGACTTTTTAGCTATGTATATGCCACAGCCCAAGAGGAGGGAGGAAAATTAGACTTAATCTGTGAAAAAGCACGATGGGCCGTCGTGCCTTCGGGCCGGCCCGGCACGGCCCGTGTCGTGTTGGGCCGTGCCTGGGCCGTGTGTGCGGCCCGTGGGCTGGCACGGCACGGCCCGGTGCGTCGGTCGGGCCGTGCCGGCCCGACAAGCCTCGGCCCAGGCACAGCCGGGCCTGGGCCGTGCCGTGCCGGGCGGCCCAGATGGCCATCTATACTCGAAGCCTCTATTCCCAAATATAGCGCGGTGAAGGAAGGGCGGCGACCTCACCGGCGGCGGCTATAGACAGCCAGGTGGGCCGGCCGGGCTGGCACGGCCCACGGCACGAATCGGCACGGCCCGTTACGGCACGGCCCGTTACGGCACGTGTCCTGTAGCGGGCCGTGCCGTGCCGGACCGCGTGCCGCGTGCGCGGCCCAGGCACGGCCCACCACGCTGCCGTGCCGTGCCGGGCCGGCACGGGCACGAATCAGCACGCGGGCCGGCGGGGGCACGTGGGCCGGCCGCAGCCCGGGAATCCGGAAAATAGAGAAAAAAAAGGGGAAAAAAAGGAGGAAAAGAGGGAAAAATAGGGAAAAAATAAAAAAATGAAAAAACAGTGAGGAAAATAGGGAAAAAATTAAAAAAAAGGGAAAATAGGGGGAAAATTAAAAAAAAGGAAAAAAGGGAAAATAAAAAATATGATTATAATTTAGAAAAAAATAGGAAATTAGGTACATAAATATAAAAAAGATGATTATAAAAAATAGGAAAAAGCTAAATAAATATAAAGAATATGAGAAAAATGGAATAATGATATTTATTAATTTTGATATTACATGGCTGCCTCGTTAAAAACTTTGTCATGTAAAAACTCATATTTGAGAAAACCATGACAAAGAAAAAAGAGTACAGCCTATAAGTCGAAAATTATTAAAAAAAACTAGCTAATCTTGTGCATCTGTATCGATGTAGAGATCTTCGAACTGAGCAACCAATTCCAAGTTCTCTGCGGAGTGTTGAGCACGTTCAGCAGCTAGCTCCCAGTCTTTGACGATGAGCAGCATTTCCACCATATCGCTGCTTAGATTTCTTCGTCGGTCCTCAATAATTCTTCCGCATGTACTGAAGGCCGATTCAGAGGATACGGTAGAAACGGGCACCGTGAACACATCCCGTGCTAGTTTTGAGAGCACGGGATATTGGGTCTTGTGATCATTCCACCATCCAAGGACGTTGAGATCTTCAGTGCTGGTACAGTCACTGTCTAAGTAGGAGGACAATTCTTGGGTGCCTTGAAAAGTACCAGTTGTTCCTGAAGCGGAACTCCCAGCAGGAGTGGAAGAGGAACTACCACCCCAAATCCGTCCCCATTGTATTTTCTTCTTACCAGCGACAGAGACAGTTGGGGGTCTTTGTAGGCGAAGTCCCTGAAACTTATTCTCATACTTGGCAAATGTCTCATATAATTTAGTCTTAACATCAGAATAATAGTTAGTATAATCTATGTTCATTATCTCTCCAATAATATTCAACATATTAACCAATCCCCGTAATTTACCCCTAGGATCAAGAATAAATGCAAAAGCATACAGTACAGGGATTTCCTTCCAATATTTAAGATATTTTTGTTTCATATGAAAGACTGCAGCAGATAGTAGGTGGTCATTCTCATTTTCTTGTAATAAAGTAGCAATTTCAAGGATTTTGTGCAACATTAAATTAGCAGTTGGATAATAAACTCCAGATAAAGCAACAGTGGCATCGTGAAATATCTCAAGAAATGCAGCAAACTTTTCTACTACATACCAAGTTGGCTCGGACATTATTAGTTGCCCATCACTGTTCGTAGCATTATTAGACTGCAAAAAAACGGTTAGTAAATCCTTATAAGGCAACACATGCCTCAACATTAGGTACGTGGTATTCCATCGATGATCTGTATCCGTGCGGAACTTACGGGGCTTCATACCCGATGCATCGCAAAATCTTTTCCATTTTGCAACCCGTGGGTTTGAGGCAAATAACCATGAGATTGCCTCACGCACAGAATCAATATGTGTAGATACCCTCTTAAAACCAGTTTTAACTATCAGATTAATGATATGACATGCACAACGTTGATGTAAAAGAAATGATTGACCATAGACAGAGAATACAGGTTGTAGAATTTCCATGGCCCTAGAGTTAGCAGCTGCATTATCTAGTGTTATAGCGAAAATTTTATTTGTAAGGTCAAACTCTTGAACAACCATGGAAATTCTTTCCGCGATATTATCAGCGGTATGTGCAACATCTATTAATTTTAAAGCAATGATTCTTTTCTGAATTTCCCAATTATCATCAACAAAGTGAGCAACTACACTTATGTAGTCTTCCTTGGCCTTACCACTCCAAATATCAGATGTGATACTAACAGAAAATGTGCAAGTGTTAAATAATTCTTTCAGTGTATCACGACCTTGTTTATAGAACTTTCTTAAATCACGGGTCGTGGTTTGAGAACTAACAGATTTAAACCTAGGGTTATGAGCAGTTTGAATATATTTTTCAAATGCAGTTGACTCACCAAAATTTAGGGGTAAATCTTGTCTAGCAATTAATCGAGTAAGAGATTCTCGTGCAACCTGAGGATCGTACTCCCACGAACGTACCGTACCATCAGGATTCAATATCAGTTGTTGTTGTCGCAGTTGGATGCCTTGCTTCTTAGCACACGACGCCGCATGCCGACTCAAATGTCCTGTTCCACTTGAAGATTTTCCAGATAATTTAGTTCTGCATATTTTACATCTAGCCAACGTTACCTCTTTACCATCAGGGCCGGTCTCCTTGATCTCATCAAAATTTTGCCATACGGTGGAAGTTCTCGATCTTTTAGAGGACGAGGCCGTTGACCCACTCGCGGCCACAGTTCCTGATCCTTCTGAAGCCACCTGTGTGGTTGCAGGTTCTTCCGGCATCGGTGCAGGGATGCTGCCACCTTGCTCCATGCCGAAATTTGGGTCGTACTCGCTCATGTCAAATATTGGGTAATTCGGATCGTCCATGCTGAAATTTCAAAATTAACATATACGTAAATAATAACACTAATAATAATAATAATAATAATTTCTTACCTTCTTCAACTCTTTGTTTGCAGCTTACAAATAGGAATATATGTCTTCCCCTAGTTATTTTTATTTTTGGCAATATTTAGAGAAATTTTGCCAAAAATTCGGAAGACCGTAAAGTCGTAACCTACAACACACAAAATACCACAAGAGAGCACAAGATTGAATGTTTGGATGAGCCAGAATGTTTGGGTTGGCTACCCTATTTATAGGAAAAAATTTCCTAATTTTTGAGTTTTTTTTCATATTTTTTTGAATTTTTTTCGACCTCCAACGGTTATTTTCAAATTTTAGCCGTTGAAGTAGCCGTTGCGGGGTAACCGTTGCAAAATTTCAACCCCACCACCATCCAACGCGCGCCACGTGGGCGCCCCCCCCCCACCGATGCGCCCGGGCGAGCCACGTGCCCGGCAGCCCGGCCGGCCCCCCCTCCCCCCGCGCCCGCGCGCGCCACGTGCCCGGCAGCCCGGCCGGCCCCCCTCCCCCCGCGCCCGCGCGCGCCACGTGCCAGCAGCCCGCCCGCCCGGCCCCCCCTCCCCGCGCGCGCGCCGCGCGTTCAAAATTCGAACGGCATGCTACAGTTGCGGGCCGTGCCGCGCCGGGCCGTGCCGTGCCGGCCCGCTACAGTAGTCGTGCCGGGCCGTGCCGGCACGCCGGGCCGAGGCGTCGGCCCAGGCACGGCCGGCCACGTCGGGCCGTGCCGGCTCGGCACGACGGCTAACGGGCCGTGCCGTGCCTGGGCCGGCCACAGTACCGCCGTGCCCGGGCCGGCCCACGTGCCTCCGGCCCATTTGGTTGTCTATAGCGGCGGCCTCGCCGTCGTTCGTCCCCTGCTGTCCACGGCGGCGCGGATGCGGGGCATCGGCGTCCCCGGCGGTGGCGGGAGAGGGTGCATATCGGCCTCCTCCTCCTCCTCCTCCTCCCCCCTTACTAATGGCTTCCCCCAACTTCTCCGGCGGCGCGGTTGGGCGGCTCGCCGGCGACCCTTTCCGGCGGCGCAGCGCCTCCCCATCTGCCGCGGCGGCGGCGGCGGCAAGGCGTCCTCGTCGGTGGTGCGCGTGGCTGGTTTCCTTGGTTAGGCTCTTCCCCCTCGAATCTGAGCGTAATTTCTCCTTTTTTTTTTTTTGGTTCAACTTCAAATTTAGTTCAAAATCTGAGATAGAAACCGGAAATTTTTGTTTTTCTGTTACCCTGAAAAATCCTCCCGTTCAGATAGCTTAAACCCTGCGCGAAACACAATCAGAGCACAAATTGGCTAACAAATTAACGAGAGCGAAATGCTGTCGCACACTTATTAGAGAATGAAGCCACACACTGATGGTTCGACAGAGATGAATTACATACATATATGCACAAATCACGCACACTGATTAGTGATTACCTCAAGGTGTGGCAGATGGTTAATTTCAGATGAAACCCACACTTTTCCCAACTCGATATACGAGCGCAGCTAGCTGCATCGGTCCGCGCAGCTGCAATGCTCAAGCTATCCAGCTGCATCTGTGCACTGATCAGACGGCACAGATCATGCATGCGGCTAGCAGCTGGTAGCTAGCTAGGAACTTGATGAATAAACACACACACACACACACACACAAGTATTACAGATTTACAGAAGGACAACACATGCTTAGCATGCAAGTGATTCCCGGAGCAGGCGGTCATGAATTAGATGGAAGGATGGAGGATGCTGGCATGGAAACATTTTGTTTCGTCAGTTACAGGACCAATACTTGTTCTTCAACGACAACCAGGAGCATGCTGGAAACTTTAGATCCTCCTCTTCTCCTTGTTCACTTCCATTTTCTTGGTCTTGGGGCTGTGGCTGCTTGTGGTTAAGAACAGGATGCTTTCTATGTGTGTTAATATCTATCCTCACCTGGTCAGGGACAAGGTCACCAATCAACTCGAGCTCCTTCAGTTTGGAGAGATTGTTGATGCCTGAGAGAGAATTCATCTTGGTGAAGGACCAGATGATCTTCTCAAGCATAGGAGCTGCCCCTTCGGTGAAGCTGATGTTGGTGATGGTAGGGCACTCAACAATAAGAAGGTCGAGCTTGGGAAACTCTCCTTTGTTGAAGGTAAGCAGGGTATCATCGTAAGAATTGCCCAAGAGAATTAGACAGCATATGCTTGGTATTTTTGCGAGAATTTGTAGATCAGCATTCTTCAGCAAGGTAGAGTGAAGAGTCACCTTGGAAATTTTATTGGCATTTCCAAATGATGAAAGAAGTGGCTTGTTGCACTTCAACTCGAGCTCCTTAAATTTTGGAAGGCTACTAACCCCAGGATGAGACATTATGTTGGCGAAGGAGTTCAAGATGATCTTCTCAAGCTTTGGAGTTGCTCCATCTTCAAAGGTTATGTTTGTCTCAAAGCTCTTGCTGAAACCCTCAGCAAGTAAGTACTTGAGATGTTGGAATTCATCCTTCTTGAAGGTGAGCATGTATTTCTCGAGAGTTTCTCCCACTTCAGATAATGAAAGAAGGAACCTGTTTCTCTTCAACTCGAGCTCTTCCAGTCTTGGAAGGTCCCCGACTCCATCAAGAGACTCTATGTTGGTGAAGGACAATACAATCTTCTCGAGCCTTGGAGCTGCTCCTTTCTGAAATTTGATGCCTCTCATGTTTTTGCCCTCGACAAGAAAGTACTTGAGATTTTTGAATTTTTGCTGAATGAAGGTGAGCTTGCCATCTGTGTATCCCTTGTTTCTGAACCTAACATAGCATAAGTTGGGCAGATCACCAAGACCCTCCAGATTTTTCTGTTTCAATGAGGTCCAACTCAATGTTACCTTGACAAGCTTAGTAAAACGTTCAGCCAATAATGTAAGAAGCTCGCCCTTTTGCGTGGTACCCTGGAGGCACAGGCTCTCAAGAAGCTTGGGACGGTATTTCAGGCAACGGGAAATATACTCTGGTAAGTCTCCAATGGATGGAGTGCCCTCTCTTTTGGTACTGCAGGGAACAATAGTGATGGACAGAGACCGGAGGCACTCACATAAGTCACTAATTGCTGTAAGCAAATTCTTGAGTAGATTGTCCTTGTCGTCGATAACCACACCGAGCTTCCTCAGTTGCCATAGCTTCCCAATGTCTTTCAACTCTTGGCCAGTCCAGACCTTGACATTGAATAATACCTCCACGTTTGCCATTTTTTTTATCCCAAGAGGAATTCGGACATAGGAGGATAATGGCTCCTTGTCCCTGATAGACATGGTGGTCTCACTAATACTTGAACCAGCCAGCAGACGTTTTAGCTTCAGGAGCAGGACATGCTTTGTTGCAAACGCAGGCACCTTAGTTTGCCGGATATCCAATACCTCCAGGTCATAGAGGTTGTTGATTTGATGAGGTAGCTTGGTAATATCCGTTCCCCTTAGGTTCAGATACTTGAGTAGTAATATATTGCTGCAAATGTCCTTGAGGTAGTGCTCCTTCCCCTTGAAGCAACAACAGCCTTCTAGATCTAGCACTTTAAGCATTGACAATTGGGATGATTTAGAGAGATTCTTGAAGAACCTGTCGATTCTATCCGAGCCGCGGAGTTGGAGCTCATTGAAGATGGAGAAATGACGAGCCAAATGATGTGACAGGCGTGGTTCCACAATATGTTGTTTCTTTGCAATCTTGGTGATGAACTCATGAACAAGATTACCTACAATGCAACTCTTTATCTTTCCTGCAGCTCCAATATCATTGGGATAGATAAGCCATCGATCAATGAGTGTGTCGAAACATCGCTCAGCATGATGGATTGCACTAGGCCAGTCTTCCTTAGTTATGAGCCCTTCTACAACCCAACATTCTACTAAGGTTGACCGCCTAATGGAGTAACCATGAGGGAAGATTGATAGGTACAGCAAGCAAGACTTGTATTCTTTACGGAGATCATCGTAGGAGAACTTGATCATCTTCTCAGCATTGATGCCCGATGATTGCTGTGAATGAAGGGAGCCAAGCAACTTGCACATATCTTCATTGCTCCTATTGGGATTAGTGTACAGGGCATGAGCAAAGGTCTTCATGCAGAACTCACTTGGACAACACTTGTTCAGGATGTCACGGAAAATCTGACTGGCATCTCCATTCACTCGCTGGCTTGTAACCTTGAGCAAAATATCATGGTACATGCCAACAATAGAATTGGTTATAGGCTCCCTTGGTGGATAGCAAATTTCTTTGGCCCTTTGAGTGTCCTGGGTGGTCACAATCATTGCGCTGCCTGAGCATGATAGCTGCTTCAAAGAATTTCTGAGCCCATACCACTGGGATACATAGTTCTTATCATCTTCAATGATAATCAAGGTCCTTTTACCTCCCAAAAGTTCTTTAATCTCGTCAACTAAGCATTCGATAAGAAACTGTTCCCCAATCTCTGACCCGACTTGTGCGATCTTTCGCTTGGTTTCTTCGATAGCACTTGTAAATTCATGGTCGTCCTGATCGGCTGGTTTAGGTGTGGCTAGCTCGGCCTTCAACAAAGATTTGCCTGCTTCTGGCACTTGTGGAGGCTGCATATCCTGTAGCTCCTGTAGGAGCATTTACTTAACTACCATGTGGATGTATATCATTTCTTCGATTTGATCCTTGTCGAATGTAGTAGTAGTTGTAGCTGTTGCAACATCATGACTAGTACCAACGCCTGGGCTGGGAGCAGTGGTACCTTCCTGGGCCTGTAGGGTTTTGTTGCTGGCTTGGAACACTTCACGCAGGATGGATTCATATGTGGCTTGACTGAGATGAATCGGGATGTTAGTTTCAAAATGCCCTTTAAGCTTCTGGGCCGTTGCCACTAGTAATTTTTCTTCGTCCAATTGTAGCATTTTAAATTGAAATGGCATCCTCTCAACTCGAAGCTGGTGGTACTTTTCCACGTCAGAGAAATCAGCGCCGCATTCAAGGTAATCCAGCGCTTTCAAGAGTATGCACAAGGGTTTCTTGTTCGTCAATCGGAGCATAGCATCTACACTTCTTTCAAGCTCACCGTTGAGTCTAGTAACCATCCTGCCTATTTGTATAATATTTTGGACAAGTCTCTTGAAAGTGTCACCCTTACAGATGTCAGCGATCTTCAATTTGTAAATGTAACATTTCATGGCATACACCGGATTCGATGTTCGATATTCGTCCACCATGCTTAAATATTCGCGGCCCCATCGGGAGTGCCAGCTCTCCTTCTCCATGTCGCATTGATACAGGATGTAGCAGAGGATGACCCTGAGTTTGATCCGGATATGGGAGGGGTTGTGATGCACTGCCGGGAGGTAGACCAAGAGTGAGTGCTCAAAATGGGTGGCCGCCACAGAAGCCAAAGTATCATGTATTGCAACCATCTCTGCTGTATCATCAGCTTCTTGTATCGGTGGCGATACAATGGCGATGGATGGTATTGATGTCGTCGAAGCTGACGATCCCATTGTCGCCGTGCTCATCACCCAGTGGGCAAGCTCCTCGCCACAGTAGTTCTCCAGAAAGCGACCCTCCAGAACACTTGTTCGACCGAGATCAGAATTGCTGCTGCCACCAGCTAACTTGTCGCGTGTTGCATCGTAGTCTTCAGCTTCTGACGACGATGCCGGGGGCATGGCTTCCAGCTTGGGGGCGACCACCACGCCGTACCTCTTGCGACGCTGAGCAACGTCGTACGCCCGCTCTTTGAGCTCGCTCAGCTCGATGCCAGCGTAGTGCTGGTGCACCATGCTCTGCACAAACCAAGGGGCCCAGCAGAGGTATCGCCGGAGGGTGCCGCCGCTGGGTTCCCGCGCTGCAGGTAGATGTCGACGCAGCTCCTGCAGTCGCGGGCGAGCTCCCGAACCTGCTCCATCCACGTCCGGACCTGCGGGTCGTGGTGGCCGCCGGTCTCGGCCAGGTGCTCCAGGAAGGTCCTCATGCTCTCCATCTCATGCTTGATGAACCGGACGTCGCTCTTCACGCGCCCCAGAAATAGTCCCTCGTTGCGGATCTGCCCCAGCAGCGAGGTAACGGCAGCCACCGCAACCTCAGCCATCCCCGCCCCACCCTAGCCGTCGCCGGCGATCAACAAGCTTGCTGGCTGGCCGGCTGGATCGATCAAGCTAGCTAGGCTAGGCTAAGGCTTGAATTCTTCATTACTTCTGTGGCCGCAAGCTAGCTAGGGCATGCATTCATGAATTGGATGTCGTGGATGCTTGTTTGGCTAATCGATCAATGGACAACGGTTGAGTAATTTCTGCTGCAGAAACCCATACTTGATTCCATGCTGCTTGTTGCTGCATGACAAGATAACTAAGGGAATATTTCCCTTGTCCTAGCCTTGAGGAAACTGATGGCATTGGATCCCAATGCTTTATTTGGCCTGCAATGCACGCACATTATATTTAATTCTCTTTACTTCTTTCTTTCAAGGAATGATATTCCTTTGATTACTTCTCTCTTTGGAGCACTGTCATCCGGCTCTTTACTTCTTTATTTTTTATCCTTTTATTGCTTTGGTTGTCTGCAGATCAATTCTTGCTTGCAACTTTGTCTTATGAAGGACAGTATTCTTTTTCCTTACATTACCCATATTACTGAGAGGTAGCTGGAGCTAGCTGAGTCTAGGAGGTACTGCTACTTCATTAATTTTTGACAGCTTATTACAAGAACCAATGCGGATTGAGATCCTCTAACTTTATGTCAAAGGGGCATGGTCGCTGACCATGTGGGCCCCACCGCTCATTGGCCCACGTGTGAGTGATGTCAGGGGCAAGTTCACATCAGAGGATCTACTTCCATCGAATGCACCGGTGTATAACTGTAACACCCGTTCCGTCGTGGCGTTAGCGAGAAAACCGATTTATTAAAAACCCTAATTATGAAATTTGTTCTTCGGTCATGCTTCGTGTGTGCTAAGGTCTTGTCTCTCTCTCACTGCTCCTTGCTCAAATCCCGCTGAAAAAGTTCCAACTCAAAATTCAAATTCAAACTCCAAGTCCTTCCAAATCAAATTCTCAGAAAAAGTCTAGTTTTCCTCCCTCTGTTTTTCTCGAGCCGCCTCTTCTCGGCTGGCCCATCTTCGCCGCCTCTCCCCTCAGCCTTTCCCTCCCTTTTGGGCCGCGCTGGCCCGATCCGCGTTGGCCTGCTCTCGGGCACGTGCGCCGCACTTGCCGCGGTAGAGCGCCGACCCAGCCCGTGCGCGTCTCCTTCTCTCTCCCTCACGCACCGCATTCTCTTCTCCCTCTCTCTCCAGTGCCACCGCTGCCATGGGACCTTATGCTCACGCCACTCCAAGCCGCTAGCGTCCAAGCTGGAGAGGCGGAGCTTGCCCTCTCTCTCCCGCTCCGCCCAAGATGACAAAGTCCACTCCCTCTTTCTCCCTCTCTTCTCTCCTTTTTCCTTTCTCAGCTACTTAGCCAACTTTAATAATTAAATGCCATCACTGTATGGATAACTCTTATTGTGAAAAGAGCTATTTACTCTATAATGGATAGGTAGAGCCAAAGAATGTGACCGGCGCCACTGCCGCCGCTCGAGCGTAGCGCCGGCGACCGCGTGTTTCCTCGCGAGACCGCGCCCGAGTCCCTACTCCTCGAAGCCAAGCCGGAGCCCCTTTAAATTCCATCGTCACCCCCCCTTTTCGGCCTCCTCCTCCTCCACTGCCATAAGCACCCGATCCACCGCTACACCATTGCCATTGCTGTCATCATTCATCGCCAGCGCCTGTGGACGCGAGACGTGGACTCCGGGCGCCATCTTCCTCCTCTCCCTCAGCCCGAGGCCGAGATGATCACGTCCTGCGCCATCGGCCGCTCTTCACGGCGCCTCCCCGTCGCAGTACTCCCTCCGTCCCTCTCCCTTCGTCGCTTTCCTCCCCTAGGCCGTAGACTAGCTCGCCGCCGTTTACCCGTGCTCGTAGAAGACATTAACACCGCCGTTTGCTCGCCTTCGCTTGCTGCTTCGCCGCCGTTCGGTGCCGAACTTCGCGCGCCGCCGCCCTCGCTCTCCGGTGTGGCGCCGCCCGTCCCATCGCTCAGAACGAGACCGTGGACTCGTGTAGATGATCCCCCATCGCTGAATCGGCCTCTAACCACTCCGGCGAGGATCCCTTCTTCTGCTGCCAGCGACGTGCGCCGCGATTTGTCGTCGTCGATCATCCTCCAGCAAATCCGAGCAGTTGGCTCGCTTCCTCTTGTGTCGCCCTTCGCTCCAGTGCCCTCCCCCTCGTCAGACTCACGCCACGTCGTCCCGGAGCTTGCTGCTGCCGCACGCCGTTGTATGTCGTCGCCATCGTCTTCTTCCTCTCGCCCTCCACCGTGGCGGCCACGTTGGCGCCACGTCGCCTCCCTCTCCCTTACTCAGTGCGCGTGGTCCACGGGAGCCGAGAGGCTGTGCGTGGACCCACCATCCCCTATCCACCCGGTGCACCAACTCCGGACCGAGTCCACCTAGCCCTAGCGTTACCCCCTCCGTGCTCCCGGTTCTCGTGAACCCACGTCGTTGATAGGTGGGCCCCAACTCAGGACCCCGCGCGATAGACCGTGGTCCACCAATCCACCTCGTGTGCGCCACGCCCGCGTGGGTAGCGCCACGATCCGGCCCACTCAGCCTCATCTCCCCTCCGGCCCGTTCGGCCTCTCTCTGCGCCGCGTCGTCCACGAGCTGCCTTCCTCGCGCGTTGGCCCGCTTCGCTTGGGCGCGTTTGTGCTTTGCAGTGGGCCACGCCTTGTGCCCGGCTGAAAAGTCCAAATTGCGTCCCTCTTTCTTTTCCTTTTTCCAAGGGATTTAATAATTTCTTTTCCTTTAGATAGAAAATAATTTAATCTTAGGAAATTCATATCTTTTCAACTGTCCATCCGATTGATTCCTTTCAACTTTCAAAATCCCTAAAAAATCAAGATCTAGCTAATGGCACGCTTAGTGGTCATTAATAGGGCTTTCTTTAACTGTTTTGTTGAGTCGCCCTGTTTAGCGTGTAGCTTCAAAGCCCGAAGACTCGCAGTGCATGGATTTCGAGGAGGAAGCTCAAGATCTCGAGCAAGGCAAGTCACCTTTGATCAAGTGAGCCCATAATTTAAAATTAAGTAAGTCATTTCTCAAATTATGCATCTTTAGGTTACACTTGACTTATTGGCCACGGTTTGCGATATAGCCGGCAGGCCTTACCTACTTATTGGAATTGACCTCCTTGGTTATTGAATGACCTAAACTTCCCTTGTCGCCTATTATGTTAAGCCTCAGTATTCCTACCCTCAGGTATGAGTGTCGTTGGCTCTCCTCAAATTTAAAATGATCAACTGGGTAAAACCTGGGTTTGCAAAATCTTTGGAAATCCCAACACCTGGGTCAATGCCTTGAAAATAAAATGTGTTTCCAAAACTCGCGGTGTGGGAGACATACTGGAGGTATGGTTTTCCCGTTCTCGCCTTAAGGACCGATTCCTTCAGAACTTCATCCAAACATAACATGTGCGACCACATGGGTAAAATGGGACACCCCTGGCTGAGTAATTAGCTAGGCCATGGAAATCTTGATGCCAAGCGACAAGTGGATTCGTCGGGGAGGACCCCTGGGCTTCGTGGCACAGTATGATCTAGGACCTAACCTGGTGTTGGTCCGTGGGACCCTTCTCGTTGGCATAAAGTGACCCTAAGTCAGCTTTCGAAATGCCTTGTCGTGAAAACCTCAAAGTCACCAGCCGTGGCTGCGCTGCCCAGGCTGGATGACCCGTGTTAGTAACGTCATGTGGTAAAGTGTACCCCTTCTGCAGAGGTTAAAAAACTGTTCGAACAGCCATGCCCACGATCATGGGCGAATGTGAGGTGATTCCTTAGCGTAGTTTTGCTTGACTACTGCTTTGTGAACTGATGTTGGTGTAAGGGAATCCTTTCAATGCTTGTCTTGTGGCTGTCGAGAACAGCAAGACTCGGAAAGTCTGTGTACTTGTTGGCAGGGAGCCACTCATTGTAACACCCCGGCCCAAGGCATAATAGGATTGATAGGATACTCATGCTAACAAGTTGCAACTTCTTTTCCGGAAGCCCATCTCCAAAGAACTCTAAAGTTAAGCGTGTCTGGCCTGGAGAAATCTAGGGAAGTGCGCAGAAAAGACTGGTGTTGGTTTGTGAGGGCAGTCTATGTCCTATGTAAGCTGCTAGATGTAAGCGGGCCCGGCCTCGTGGAGGCAGGACGTTACAGTATGGTATCAGAGCCGACTCTCGCGGTTTCACGGGCGCGTGTGTCGCAGTTGCGCAGGCATGGTGCGCATGGCTGGTGTGGACCCGGTGTGGTCACACAGCATGGCACATGCGCTGGCACTGGACACACTGACGTGGCCAAGAGAGGGAGTTCCTGGCTTGGGGTTGATCGACGAGGACGTCGATCTCTTAAGGGGGTGAGTATGTAACACCCCGGCCCAAGGCATAATAAGATTGATAGGATACTCATGTTAACAAGTTGCAACTTCTTTTCTGGAAGCCCATCTCCAAAGAACTCTAAAGTTAAGCGTGCTTGGCCTGGAGAAATCTAGGGATGGGTGGTGTTGGTTTGTGAGGGCAGTTTATGTCCTATGTAAGCTGCTAGATGTAAGCGGGCCCGGCCTCGTGGAGGCGGGACGTTACACTCATGCAGATGAAAGCAACAAATATATTTCACTACTCCGGCCGGATGAGACGCACTTTCTCATTCGTGTCATTGAGAAGCACTCACTGAATGCCAAAATAACCAGCCTTCCTTTGAAACTTGCATTTAATACATAAGTTCCCCTGGCTTTATGAGTACCCTCGTACTCACCCTTTTTCTATATAAATAACCCCTCCCCCAGTACTCAAAGAACAGGAGATGGATCCAGCTGATGAGGAGTTTTTCCAGGAGCAAGCAGACTTCGAGCTGTAGTAGGGTTTCGGCTTAGTTCCCAAGTCATGCTTGTGGTTTTGGGCTAGTTTCTGCTTCTGCCTTTTTGTAATGTAGTTGCGAACTCAGGGTCTGTCCGAGGTTCCAACAATGACTGTATCTCTACTCTTAATAAAAAGACCTCTGACGCTGTGATATTCATTCTTCCAGTTGTACCAGCACTATTTCCTGGGACTGGTACAGGTTTACAGGTTAATTTGGATCATCTCAATCTGGTTTCTGTCCGGGGCAAGTTTGGGGCGTGACAATAACTCCTTGGAAATTAAGATTTAATTATAGCTTTTTATTGTTCGGAGGAGATATCTATAAAAGAT